GGTGGAGGGCCTCTTTAGCTCGTTTTTGCTAAATGATTTATGTTGCTTTTTCAAGAGTACATTATGGGAAGCATTAAAAGTTTATCTAGGTAGTCAACGTGATAATAAACAAATTAAAAATTATGTGTATATAGAAAATATATAAATAATTCCTTTTATTTTTTAAATAAAAAATAATAACATAAAGGTACTTAATAATATTAAAGTTTTATATCGTTTTGAGCCTTTACATATTATTTAATTATGATTTATACAATTCCAATAAATTGTGTCACACTGTGTCGATTCATATAGGCATTATTTATTATTACTTAATTTTAAATCATTTTGAGCCTTTACATATTACTTATAGTATTTACTTTTAAAAAGTACAGTATTTACCTTTTTTTATTGTAAATTTTTATGATATTAAAAAATCCTAATATTACAATGTCAAGGTTATAATAGTTTTTAAATTAGTAAAATAATTAAAGAAAAATGTTCTTATAAGTTAAAAGTATTTTTAAACTTGTATTACATAAATACTTTGAATAATATTACATAAGCAACATTGTATTAATTTTAATTTATAATTTATTTATGAATAAGAGTAAATTCTTAATTTTTATTATTTTTGTTTGTTATTAAATAAATAATTTTAAATGTTTTAACTTTTTAATAAAAATATATATTTATTTATTTTAAAAAATAATTATTTATTAATTTATTCGATTATTTTATTTTTGTGCATATATTGTTTATTATTTATTATTCCTTATCCTTACTTTCACTCTGTGAAAGGTATAATGAAAAAAAGATATAATAGTATAATATCTCAAAAATGTTCAACACATCTTATGTTTATTGAAAAACGTATTCAAAAAACATCCTAAAATCTTTATAATAACATCCTCTGAAAAAATAATATAAAAGGGTAATATATGAGAAGTGGATTAGGCCTAATGGGGAAACCACTATAAAAAAAAACGCATCATACTATCTACCGCAAGGTGATGTGGAAATGATAGTGTTTTCAAACTGTCATTTTCTTGATATAGAAAAGATAAAAGAAAATTATTTTTTAATATATGATTTTACGTTACAAGCTACTCACATGATCATTTATTTTTAATATAAGTGATTACTCATTTTGACTACTTAAGTATATATTTTTATTAATAATGTCAAATGCTGATAGCGCGTGCGTAGCGCGCGCCTGTATTGTTCTAGTAACTAGTTTATAAAGAAAAGAGGACCGCCGATAAAATCGGCGGGGGTGGTGTAGAGGGCCTCTCTACTCGTTTGTACTAATTACTAATAACTATATATTTAGTAAGAACGAGCTAAGTTAACATAAAGAAAACAACTTCCTAATTCCATTTTTATACAGACACGTATTATAAGACAAAATTCGTGAAATTAATTTGTTTGAATATTTGATTTCAAGTTTCTTAAAAGTCAGCAATTTTCATTTCTCTATTAGAAGATAGACAAAATTCAAAATTTTATTTTTGATAACTCATTAATAAATTTTGTATTAGTATTTTTCTGATTTCTCACATACATATATACGTTTCTTTTCAAGAATAGATGATCTGAGAATCACTCTGTTCTGCAGCCATTGAAAAGCCTTGTCGACCGATAAAATATCGGCCTAGTGGTTGCAGTGTTCAACAGAGAATGCCGCTTTGCAATTATTATAAAATTCGTGTTTTGTGTGCACCAGTTCGTATTTTTTCCTTTTTTCTCTAGAAGAAGAGAAAAGGTAAAATGATGAACTGGTGCAAAAGTTCAACCAAAAAGAACTGATTCTGACTTGGTCTCAGACACATCGATTGGTTGTCTGCTTTGTTTGGCTAACGGATTGATAATCATGGACATAGGGAAGATTCAAACCAAAAAATCATGGACATAGGGAAGAATCGAACCAAAAAATTGTGGACATTGCCGACACGATCGTGGACATTGGCTACATAATTCAATGTCCACGTTTTGTAGACATAAAGGCGCTTCAAAATAAAGTAACAGCTAAATCCCGGGCATGGCCGCTCTCAGGTTTCTCTCTGGTAACAGCTAAATCTCGGAGCAGATGGCCGCTCTGAACGCAGTTAATATTATCAGGTTTCTCTCTGATATATTATATTTTAAAGCGCCACAAAATGTGGCCATTGAACTACGTAGTCAATATTTATGATCGACAACGGGCACACATGAAAAATATCAATTACGGATGAATATCATAAATTATACCAGACATACCTTTATATTAAACTTTTTTATACTGTTTATCTCATTTCATGATCTTTCAACATTTATTAATGTAAAACTATCAACAAAAAACTGTAATTTAAGCAATTATTCGAAAAACATTAATTAATCCATTATGCTTCCTTTTACTGATTTCATGTGGTTTTCTAAATTTAAAATACCGCACAATGATATTAATCGCTGCAATATACATATACAATAAAAATAAAATTTTAAATACTCTGAACTATCTATAAAACGATAAACAATTTCTTTTCTTTAAATTCTGTTTTTGGTCAAAGATTTGGGTCGCCTGGCCCACAATGCGTTTGATTGATGCATAACACACACACATAGGAACAATCAAAATAAATAACTTAAAATGTATAGGAAGTATAATGTCCACAAACAAATTGCTGCAATAATTGCAGTAAAAAGTAGTGGTATTAATAAAATATTAATTTTATTGTTATTTTTTATTTTATGACTCATAATTACATAAACTAAGTTTACCTTTTAATGTATTTTAGTGAAAAATTGTCCATTAAAAATTATCATATGTGCTCAAACCTTCAAACACTCGTTCTCGTTCTCTCTCTCTCCCTCTCTCCCCCTCCCCCCCTCTCTCTCTCTCTCTCTCAAATTTGATTTCTACACAAATTCAAAAAATGTATTTTTTGAAATGTGATAAATTTGATTATTCACTGTGTAGTAATAATTACAATTTTATAATGTTTATTATTATCTTTAAACAGTTCTTTAAAATGATATTTACATATTAATAGTTTAGAATCATAATATACAACAGTATTATCTCATACAAGTTTTAACGTTTTGCAAATTCTCTTGTGTGGATTAAAAATTCGCCGGAATGCAGGAACGATTCTTGGACATTATAACAAACTGGATTAATGTATGTCACATACATTAATGTATGTGACATCTGAACTTCTGGAGTAATTTAAAAACATGATTGTGCAGGCAGAATATTAATGACCGTATTCATTTTGTCTTTTACTTACGTATGCGTTTATTAAATAACACACACTGCGAAAAACCATACATAACACTTGCCACATAACTCATAATTGCACTCACAATTGTAGTCTGCATAATGGCATACAGCAGACTTTATGTTATCATGAAAAATTATATTATTATGAAAAACTAATTAATAACGTTTGGAATAGCATTAAATTGAAATAAACAAGTAAATAATCAACTGCGTTTATTTAATTGACTTCTCAATTAATACCTAAGATAAATAAAGGAAGGCCCGATAAATAACAAGAAACAGAAATTAATTATATCATTTGGCGATACGAGTAGACATAGAATACACATAAGTATTTTTAACTTTATTATGTTACACATTCACAGTAAGAAAAATCATAGTGTCCTTCCAATGTCCGTTATACTGTCCCTGCGCTAACATAAATATAATTGGAGAGTATCCATTGATAAAGAAAAGTGTAAGATGTTTTGTATCACTTACACTTATTCTTTTAATCGCTCCGTGTCGTATCAGCACCGATGTTAAAAAGTTTTCAGCCTCGACATAAATTAATATTCGTGAACAATACACGTATTTGTAGTATGTATTTGAATCACCTTGCGTACTAGATTACAAACTCTATAAATTCTAATTACCGAATCTTCTCTTAAGGATTAAGTGATCCTTCCACGATTGTCAGAGAAGACTCATGGTTAAAAGGTCTGCCACAGGAAGATTATTACCGGCGGGTATTACGATGGCACTTTGACCAGTGATTACAAGACATCGTCACAAGGGCGATATAATCAGTGATCATATACTTTGATCACAAATAAGTTTTCCTTTTTCCATTATTTGGTTATCACACTAATAACTTTGGGAAGGGCTTCGATCCGTAAAGAAGTTTTTCAGGATGAAAACCTGTCCTACAGCGATTAACAGGATACAAGCAGTCTCCATAACGGACCACCAGAGGACTCGCTCGTTGAGTTCCTCTGCACGTTTGCGGCCCTGAGCTTCGCGTAGGCGATGATGAGTCTGATAGTCCAAAATGCTGATTAGATTTTTGTGTACTTCTTGAGCAGAAGACTCCATCTATTAAAAGAACTCATATCAGGTATCCCTAATTTTTATTTATATATCAAAAATCTATTAAGTTATTTATTTATTTATTATAATCTGGGTAATCTATTTGTATATCACTGAGAATGATCTCAAATGTGACCAAAACATTAAAATGTTGAGAAGCAGGCTAAATATATATCTTTATGTTTAATTTTTACTAATTATATATTTAAATTTATATCCCAAATACTGCACTGTATTCTTACTTGCCTTTTTCTTCTAATATTTTTGTATTTTGAGAGTCTTTATTAAATGCCTTATTTAATCTGTTTCACTATCTCATTGATCATTTATGTAAAAATTTTACAATTTACCTGAGTCATGACAGTGACGTGTTCTCCAAGACCAGGAAGTGGCAGTTCGTCACCAACTTGGAAATCCATATATACCAGCTTGTGCGAATATGTAGAAAACTCATTGCTAAAGCAAGCCTTGTATATTCCTGACATAGTTGGTATGAATGAGTGTGAATCAAATTGTGTTTTTACTTGGCTATAGATAATTTCTTTATTTGGTGCTTCTAAAGTTACATCTACATCATACTGGCCACCTGTAACTACCTGAAAAATAAAGCATGTGCATCATAAATGAATTGTTTTAAAAAGCACAAAGTGGTCTACTTGTACTTAAAGTACAAATCGATGAAATTACTTCAAAATTAATAAAGAAAAATTGTGGTATCAATAAAAATATTACTTTCTATAAAATTTCTCTAGAAACGAGTATAAAATACTTGCATAAAATACATTTATTTTATATCTCTTTTTTCGTTTGCAATATAAGATACAAAAACACACAATGCAACTAAAACAGACCTATTAATTAAATTTTAATTGCATAATTTATTATTTGCTCTATATTCATATTATTTCTTATTTGATCATTCAACTTTGAAGCTAAGCAGACGAATAAATGTGCCATACTGCACCGCGAGTCATAATACCAGTCTCAAATGCACTATTAGCAACGTGTCATCATGACACGTGATAGGTGTAGCGTTATTGGAAATTGATAGCTTATATAGCGTTATGCACCTGAAACTCCAACGTAGATGAAACGTTCTTTCCGATCTCTTGATAAAAACACTCTTTGGCATTGTCAGCTAGTTCAAAGGTTAGCTCGACGCCATCCGTGAGTATGAGTGCACCAACCAGCGAAGTGAGCAATAGCCAGACCGACCAGCAATCCATCCTTATTATTTTTCGTTTATTCGTCGACGCTCACGCGGCTGTCTCGTCACTGACCTGTGCGCATTTAAAATCCCCTTGAGCCTCGAGAAAATTCGGGCATAAACGCACAACCACTTTCACTTTTTTCCGGCTACACCGGGCAGCCCGACCGCCGATAATTTCAAGCAAACGGCCCAAACAAACGATTTTAACGTGGCCGGATGTCGACTCATGTCGAATGCGCACGACGTAACCGCGTTTGGTTCGATGAGCGTGACACGCAGCTGCGGAAGTAGCTAGATTCACGTCACTGCAGATGTCACTCGAGTCGCGCCACGAAACTGTCCTTTTGATTGGTCGATATTTTTCAGTAATTGCCGCCTATATTTGAACACCTATATTTATGTTACTTTAAAATCAAACAATTTAACACTGACGAGATATCATTAAAGACATCCGGTGCTTATAAAAGTTTTCGACAATGGGCGAGTTTTTTAATTCATCGATTGATCCAATCGCATGATGCGCAAGTGCAACATGTTATTGCACTCGCTCATATAAAATTACAATACTGAAAGTATGCAAACTTATTTATACAGCATTTATATGTATAATAATGTACTTGAATAAAAAGTTATTGAAGACCAATATTTGGCAATATTTAATAATGAATATCTTGTTAGCGCAAAAAATACAAAATGACAAAGGAATGTGTTATTATTTATAATCAGTTTAGTTCGCTCTACCAGCACACGAAATATTTGGCAGTTATTCTCTGGGACACCCTGTATACATTACGTACACTTTTCATTGTCTGGTGTGGTCTGGTGTCAATTTTGATTATATAACTATTTTGACGCTGAAAACGAATACCGGCATTAGCATGAAAAGGCATTTTATTCACGTCACGATGAATAATGATTCATAGAATTATTATTAACATCATCGTCATATACGATCTATTTGCTAATTTTTGTTTCACCCCTTCGATCGATTTGGAAAAAATATATGTTAAAATGGACCTGGAGATATATATATATTCATAAAAATATAAAAGTGGTATCTTCAAAACATCAAAATTTATAAAAAATTCGAAAATATTTTAAACAGCTTCTTTTTAATCACAAAAATTGCAAAATATTCTTTAAACTTACCTAAACGATGTTTACACACACAACATATTATATATTTTTTTCATTCAAATTTATTAAATAAAGTTGTGGAGATGTAAGTGTGACACGATAGTGTCACTTGGTATCTTATATATATCCGTATGACATTCACAATTGCGACCATTGCAACATTATCAAAAAATAACGCACGTTGAAAAACTCACAATCAGTGAAAAACAAAAATAAATATAGTATGCCTCGTGGACAACTATTCAGATTAGGAAATCTGTCATGCTGGCGTAAAAGAACATATAACAACATGTAAGTGAGGCTACAACTAAAAAGATTTACCTACTTGCTTTTAGACTGATGATTTTTATTTAAACTTTTGTAAGATTTGTTCGTTTTGGATAAAAACGCGTTCAAATAGGTATATAATTTCATTGATTTTTCAAGAGGATGTGACCAAATTAAAAAATTACCTTCGATTTCTATAGTTTAAATATTCGCGCAACGGAATTAAGACGGACAAGTCTTCAACTATAACAGCGACTCAACTGGCGAAAAAAAAAAATTGGAAAATAGAAATTGTGTGTTTTCGGAATAAAAAGGCTATGGAGATTTTACTCCTTTCTATTGTATTACTCTGTGATCTCGCTTTATCTTTATACCGTTTGTAACTTTATTTCAATTCAAATTAACGCATTTCGAATACATTATTTTTATTCATTACATACCGAGTATAAAATAATGATGAGTTACATTTCAAAAGTGACTTTCCAGCGTGACTCTATAGCGTTATCGTTAAAGAGTTACAAAAAATTGTAAAGATTACTAATCAATATTTTAAAAAGATAAAGATAACTAATAACAACGTAACTTATTATTATGTAACACTATGTGTTACATTGTGGCATCGAGTGGCTCACCACTCGGTGCGATTGACTCGCGATCTGTAAACCCGAGTTCAATCCCACGTGCGCCCAAACGCAATTTTTCGCGTTTAATGAGCCAAAAAATGGCTCCACCTGGTAATCAAAAGATCTATAATCATCAGTGCCGTTCGGATTCGGCGTTAAACTGTAGGTCCTATACATCAGTATCTATACACTATCAGTTATAGATATTTGTCTAATATCTGACTGAGGTAGGATTCTGTGGATTAAATCACCCACTCCGAAAAACAAATCTGATTCAAGAAATAAATATAGGCTTTGGACAAAAGAGGAAGAGAGGCCTATAGACGTCCTATGCTCCACATAAGGAGATAAAAGAAGTCATTATTATTATTATTATGTGTTACATTATATCGGTTAAGTCATATATATATTTATAACGTTATTTAATACTCCTGGTATAATATAAATAATTCATTTTTGTCTGGTGATTGTTGGGATAAAAATTATTAATTTATACTTATATGAAAATATATTTTTTTGTTGAGAGATATTAATCTACAACATTTTATTTAACTCTGTACGTTTTCTCTTTAAATAAACAATAAATATATCGTTTTTTAAATATTTTTATTCGTTATAGAAATTATTAAAGAAAGTGTATATTTGTAAACTTTTTATTTGTATACAATACATTCCAATATATATAGGTATTATTGTTGCATCTTCATGTCTTTATATATTGTTGTATTTTGTCGTGAATTTGAACTATTTTATATACAAATACAATATAAATACACTATTTTATAATCTATTTTACATTATTAATTCTTATTGGACCGCTAAATATTAAACTGAATGAGACAATGCCATAGCGATCTAAGCTGGATTACGGGTGCTTCTAAATAATTGCATGTGAATTTATATAACATGTATATAATTCTTCAATTGTCAATTTACAGGATTGCCACAAATTTTTAATCGTAAAATTTCCTGACGTTTTCCTGATTTACTGACAAAACTTTGAGATTTTCCCAACTTTCAATAATATACATATTTTGCAATGTTTCTTGTATTTTTATCGTAATATGGAAAATGTTAAAAATTCTGTTGATCCTGCAATGTATGCACATTTTTTTCAGAAAACGAATTCTAAAAAAAAGATAGTCAAAACAAATCATAGAAACACAAGGCAATATAATTTACAGCTTTTTATTTTCCCTGACAAGTGTGCTAAATCCCTGACTTTTCCTGACTTCCCTGGCGCATTTTTAAATTCCTGACATTTCCCTGATTTCCCTGACTTGTGGCAACCATGATTTAACTCGTGATATTACTGCGGTAATATCAATTTATTAGTGTTGCGTTTCAAATCTGAAAAAATTTCGGTGCGTAATCGAAAAATTACATACGTAGTATATGAGTTCACACGCAATTATTTAGAATCACCTGTAATCCAACTTAGATCGCTGGGGCATTATCTCCTTCCATTTTATAATCTTTTTACATTATAATGCTATACAATATGGATATAAATATTTCAGACATTTTGTATACATGCAACATGTCTAAATTGATTAGAAGACAACAAATTAAATATATCAGGTATTTTATTTAAACTTCGCCCCAGGCGAGTAACTCAAGAAGACGTGGGATTTAAAAAAGTTTTAGACAAAAGTTATGTGACTTCGAGGGGGATACAAAATGGAGCCTGAAGTACGGCAGCTGCGCGAATTTCCGGGCCCCTCTCCACGAGGCTGGGATGATGGCGTAGGGATTTTAGTCGCGGTAGGTGCCGTCGGTTAGGGTGACCGTGGCTTAGGCCACTGGTCCCGGCTGGCGGTGAATCCGACACTCCCTGAGTTTGGTTACCCGGGTCTTTGGAAGATTTCCCCTTCGACAACAAAAAAAATATTCTGTATTTAAAAACTTATTTTTCCTTTAATGAAGTATGAAGTTGAAGATTAAGAATACGTATCAAAGAGCGTTTAAACTGTTCGAACAGTATTTTGTTAGCAATATTGCGAAATAAATTGCAAAACAATTTCGAGGACGATACATCAGTTAAAACATTAAATAAAGGTTACGTATAAAGTGTGGACGTGTTATCTCGAAAATTCTTTCAGACATTAGACCGATACATAATCAATTAAATAATTATTATTGTAATAAAACATTATATACAAACCTCGTCATTGAAACTCATTCTTTGGAATGGTTGAAACTACCGAAACGATATGAATAACACATTTACTTTTCGCTGTAGTTGGGTGTTGGGCCTTTCCAAACAGTCCGAATTTTAAGGCAAAATGACGGCTCATAGAGAGTCAGAGTGGGGAGAGCCGCTAGCGTTTTGACGCTATGTGAAATTGCATCTTTATGCTAATGTCGGTGGTATTCTAACTTTCAAGCATTACAACTCAAAACGTATTTAAAGAAAAAAATATTATAGTGTATTTTCGAGATAAGCTACGAGAATATGCAATGAAAAATGGGAGGTTCTATTTACAAAATTCAAAGTTACTTTGCTCTAATCTTGACAACGTCACTAAAGGTCAAACCCATAGTATCATCTTGTGTCTTCCTCGAAGTCACATAACTTTTGTCTGAAATTTTTTAGTTCCACATCTCCTTCTTAAGTTATTCGTCTAGCGTAGAATCCTATTGTATATAAAAAAAAGCGACATTAATGTCCGAGTTTCTCGATTGGCAGTCTTGATGTGTTCTGATTTAGTATCCCATCCTAAGTAAAACAGCTATATTGTGACCGCACTGATTACACAGGGGTGCGTTCAGAAAATCTGAGTATTGGTAGAGAGAGATAAAATCTGTGTGCATCCCAGAGTGATCGAAACAAAGAAGTGTAAGGAAATAAACTAACATCTCCCGTCGAGCTGTGTAATTCCGCGGCAAGATGGTGGTTTGCTAACACAAAACTACTACGAGGCCTCGGTTCGAATCCCGGCATCGCGTTAGAAAGTCCAAATATGGTGGTTTAGGGAGTGATAGTATCTACTGATAGTAGAGATCCGATCTAGTGGTTCGATGTCGCTTCTTTTTATATATAGGACTCTAGTCTAGAGTGATTAAAATGAAACACCCTATATATTGTAAGATAAAACTTAACATTATCGTTTTTACGGTATTTTAATACCTTTATAAACTTCAAATATATTCAGTTAAACGCTATTAATTTGTGAATGTAGAGAATAATG